CCGACCCATCACAATCCTTCAGATCTGCTCACCCGTGGAATAAATCCCGCAGTACTACACGATTCTCACTTGTGGTGAAGGGCCCAGAATGGTTATGTAATCGTGAATCCTGTCCTAAATGTGAACTTTACGATTCGAGTGAGCAAAGCGATATATCTGTCAATCACTTACAGATAGAAACCACTCAGCAGCCCCTCGAATCGATTTATACACATACTAATCAGCCTGTTGATGACCGCGAACGTACCATGACCGACACCGAACATAATAATTCTGACACTGAGGGAATACCAGCCGGCATTCATCAAATTATTGATATTCATGCATACAATGACGTACATCGTCTTCTGCTTGTAACAGCATATGTGTTACGCTTTGTCACCTTATTGAAGAAATGTATCATAAACAATGACAAAACGCCGCCAGTTTCGAACACCAATAATCGTCCACAAACAACGATGCCTTCAGCAACGGAGATTATTAACGCAGAAACGGTTTGGATACAAGCTATTCAACACACAGAATACGCTAGTATAATCACCGGTCTTGAACGGAATAACCACAAGATTGGACCTCTGAGTAAACAATTAAAATTATTCCTGGACGAAGAACTACTAAGGACAGGTGGTCGTATACAGAACTCTAAATTGGATTACAATACTATACATCTAATTCTCCTACCAAGTCATCATCAGTTTACAATGATGATTATAAATGCAACGCATCTCAGACTGAACCACGCTGGTTCTCTGGCAACTACCACAGCTACATGTATACGCGAACGCTATTGGGTTCCGTCTATTCGTCACGTCGTAAATACCATTCTCCACAAATGTGTGACGTGTAAACGAGTCGATGGGCATCCTTACTGCAAACCAATACCCGCCCCATTACCAGATTATCACGTACATCATACACCCCCATTCTCAACATGTGGCATTGACTACACTGGGGCTCTGTTTGTCAAAAACCCACATAATAACACTATCACGAAAGCTTACATCTGCTTATTCATGTGTGCTATAACCAGAGCAATCCATTTGGAACTAGTGTCGGATATGATGACAACCACGTTCATGCTAGCCTTTAGACATTTCGCCGCCCGATGTTCAACTCCCACGATGTTGATTACCGACAACGCTACAACCTTTGTATCGGCAGCTAACGAGCTTAAAGAAATCATATCAGACCCAGAAGTTCAATCATTTCTAACAAAGATTCATACTACTTGGCGATTCATTCCCAAACGTAGTCCCTGGTTTGGTGGGCTATATGAGCGCATGGTGGGAATTACTAAAAATGCCCTAAAGAAGGTATTAGGCAAGGCGTGTGTTACGTATCATGAACTTGAAACTATCCTCACAGAAATAGAGTCTTCAATAATGACAGACCC